CAGTTTTATTAAGAAAGGACTTGTGTCGCTAAAGTTTCGTGGGAATGAAGTTACGGAAAATCTACTAACGAATGGAGACGTAACAGTATTCATTGAAACAGAAACTCAATGGTTATGACAGAACTGCTACTATGAAACTTCAGTAATTAGAAATCAATCCTGAAAGACATAAGAGGAAAGGTTGTGATAAAAATACAAAGATGAATGGCAAGAACAGCAGAGTTTGGACAGGAGCTCTGGCATTAAATCTCATAACATTCCATGGGCCAAAGTGTGCTCACTCATTCAGTCTCGTAATTATACTGCAAAGTCTTGCCTTGAAACTGTATTTTGTTTTCTTTTAAACAATTGTTGTTTTTCACTGGTGTAGAGCTGCTGAAAAAAGCTTAAAGGTGACATGTTGATTCAATAAAAGAAATTTATCAAATAAAAAATCTATTTAGATATACAGACAATGCAGTTTAAAAAGCAATGTACACTACACTCCAGTGAGCATTGCTGAATTTAAAAATCTTACAAAAATTTTTTATTATTATGTTTATAGTACCATGCAATACTTTTGGGCGTTTGTGGAATTCTGTCACGTGTTGCAACAATTATAGTACACAGTTCTAATGACAGTTTCAGTCACAGCTGAAACTCAGTTACATGTTACAACAATGACACTACACAATTCTAATGATAGTCTCAGTCAGAGCTGAAACCCACTCATGTGTTGCAACAATGATACTACACAATAATGGCTGGAGACGGCTTGAATGGGTAATGAAGAAAAACTTTAATATAACAGCAAATGTACAACGTTTCGACAAGGTTTTGTCATCATCAGGTACCCATTACCCATTCAAGCCGTCTCCAGCCATTATTAGTCTCAAAGTGGGTTCCTCGTCATCGAAAATGATACTACACATTTACATGGGATACTCCAGGGTCATAGGAAGTGGTAAGGCTAGTCAGGCCATAGCCTGACCACTCTTCATGGTATGTCCTGAGGGATTGATGGTTGGAAAGCTTTCATTGATACAAAGGATAAAGATGTCATACAATGGCCTGACCACTCCAAAATTGCTTCCAATGGCAAAGTACTTAGTCATTAATAAAACTCAGTCACATGATGCAATGATGATACCATATACTTTCAATGACAATCTCAGTCACAGCTGAAACTCAATGTGTCCTGCTGATAGCCAAGTGGTTAGAATGCCCATATTCAGGATTATAGGTTCAGTGGTTCAATTCCCAGTAATTTCACAAAAAGCTTTCTGGTTTGTAATGCATACAAAAATGTCTGATATAGCACCTGACCTCAGCCAGAGAATTCTCTGGTTGAAATGTTGTGAAAATAATAATACATGTAGTAAAGATGAGAATAATAGTCTGAATAATTATACCATTAGTCATTCATGTGTTGTAACAATGAAACTACAAATTTTCATGTGATGTTTATTGTCATTAATAAAACTCAGTCATAAGTTTCAACAATGATACTACAACAATATTTTTATCTTGAACTGTTCTACCATAAGTTAAAGTGAAGTTGAGCAGAGCCCATTACACATTAATAAAATAGTTGGTCATGCAGTATTTGCTTTGTATTTTCAACAATGATAATTAAAACAGGATTTGTGCACTTACTCTATTATATTGTTGTATATTCCCAAATATTTTCTATTAATGATACCTACAGAACAATCTGATGAAATAATATTGAAGTGAATTTCGTTAATTTGACTAGTAATAGTTGTTGAAGTCATAAAAATTGTTACATAGTAACATTTTGTTAACAGCAGATGGTATTGTGGAATAACAGTAACAACCTTTGTGCCCATGATGACATGACTCTAGGTGTTTCAACACATTACTTTTGTGCTATTTTGGCACATACTGCTTTGAATGTTGACAAGAGCAGCAAACATTCAGAGCAGTATGTGCCAAAATAGCACAAAAGTAATGTGTTGAAACACCTAGAGTCATGTCATCATGGCTGACAAGAGCAGCAAACATTCTTCTACAAAAGTGTTTGTGTTGTTGTTTTCAGGAACTCACCAGAATATAAGAAAACTTGCTATTCGGCTTAATCTGGCAAATAGTTAGAGACATCCTGTCACTTACCATCACTGGTAAGCCTTTAGGCTGTCTGCAATGTTTGATCTGAAGACTAGCGGGAAAATGCCATGCTTGATCAGAATATGTTCTGGCCACAAATGTGTCACTTCACTTTCTTAACCCTTTCAAGACGGGTCACTGGT